GGACTGTACACCTATTCCTGAAGCAGAGAATATGATAAACTGTAAACACAATCTATAGCACTTCTGTAGCCCTTGATTCTCCTTTTGTACAGGTTCTGCTCCAGTGCAGGAGGGGAGGACTTCAGGGAGTTAACTGCAGCTCCCTGATTCCAAAACATCCTACCCAAGCACAGGTTGGGGCTGCAGAGAGGCTCACTTGCTTTCAAATACCTTATGCCAGTGGAGACTTGGGCATAATGGAGTTCTGCCATGCTATATACCCAACAGGTGGGATGTGGCTGGGAGTGAAATGTGGCTGCAGAAGAAGGAAACAAGAGCAACTAGTGCCAGATTTCTAGCAGCAGAGTTCCCTTGAGCTGGAGGAATTCTCCACTGGCTATTTCCCACTGGTTTAAAGTCATTTTGTAGTTATGCAGTTCTAAATCGCCTTAGTACCAGTAAATCTGGCCCTTTAATCTTTTGACTATCATTACATCCTGATATAGCCTAGAGACCAGGAGTGCTCAACCCCTGCTCCATGGGCCAAATCCGGCCTGTGGAGCTATAGTAACTGGCCCGTAGGGCTCCCACATGTCAGGAATGTGATAGAGAGGGAGTAGTGACAATTACACTGCCACCCCTCACCCACCATCAAATTTTCAAGCCTCTCATGGCTGGATTAGGTCCAGGCTGAGCTGTTGCCACACAGCCAGATTGGGGCTCAAGCCAGGCCATTACAATGCAGCTGATTCAGGGCCCAAACTGGGTTGTTACCATGTGGCTGAAGTGGCCCCCTTCCACACAGCCAGAAGCCACGACCCCTTGAGGGGCTAGATCTTGCCCCTCCCCACAGCTGCATTGGGCCCAGGATGGATCGGACCTCTACCACACCTGCCCCACATTGTGGATTGGGCCCACCAGCCAAAACCGGTTTGCTGACCAGATTAAGATTATTTGGGTTGATGCTATCTGGGGGAATATATTTTCCAATTACTAATATTTCCATTTTTTAGTGTTACTTTATGATTGAAGTGGGGAAATAGGTGGCACAGAACAAAGTGCCTTGGCCATGATGGGATAAGAATATTTGTAGCCCCAAGGGAAATACAGTCCCTAGCCTACAGGGCAAAAAGATTGAGCACCATGACGTCTTATTTGTGCTTCTTTTTCAAACTAAGAAAAGAGACAAAAATGAACAGACAAAACAGAATTAATGGCCTTATGTTCAACTACAGCTATAGTTAAAACAATCAGGAATCTAAAACTAGGAAAGAAAGCACAGGGCCAATTGATCAGTTATCCCATGCACCATAAATTCAGGGAGTAACACTCTGGAGAAAGGAAGAATCTAGTGGGAGATAACTCCAGCAGTTATAAGAAAAATATTAGCATTCACCTCTCTTACACAGAGGATAGATAGCCAAATGTACACTCCACAGTTTCTAGATATAATTATTATGCTGATCAGCCATATCTGCCATATTCTTAACATCACTGTCCAAATGACTCCAGGGAAACAAAAACCAAATGTAGTACCTGCCTCAGTCCACAATAGAAGCATGTACCAAACTCTAGGACCAAGGGTAATTTATGGTTATAGATCAGAGTCATCGCCTGTCTTCAGAGCAAAAGATTCAAGCAGAAAGCCTAGAGTTCACAGACATAATTCAAAGCATACCCTACTGAATGGGTTTCCACAGCTCATCAGGTACTTGCAACTATATATTATAGATATTTTTCTTAGATACAGTCCAGTAGCGACAGTAGGAAATCGACTTCTATTTGATCGAAATGGAGTTAAGATATCACAATGAGTGGCATCCATTACCAATTTTCATTTCAACAACTACTCAGACAAAACAATATAAATTAATCTGTCAATTCAGGTCATGTGTGTGTCCTTACATTAGTTACCATTTTTAATGTTGACCTTCAAATTATAAAATGTTTGAATTTAATTAAAGAGTGAAATATTCTTTTCTTTCCTGCACCCAGCAAAATATACACATACAGCATTTCAGAGGCCAACACATAAAATGAAATTAATATGCATTTTGAATGAGTTTTAGACTATTCAAAGCATAGCTAAACATATATGTTTGATATGTGCATAGATATTTTATTATAGCCGGACCTTTCTACTTGCTACACCTACAATTGTCTATGTGGCTTTTGAAATGTGCATAAAGCAGATGTTTAAATTCAAACTGGAAAAACACAGGTGGAAACAAACACTTTTTCCAAAGTTTGATAGAAATCTGTTTGGCCATGTATATGCATGAACTGCAAACAAACGAGAGTTCTATAGTTACTAGGTGTTTTTGATGATCCCACCTGAGTAGCTGTAATCTTTTTATATCTCTGCAGACTTCCACTTTTCATCATGACATTTTACAGATAAATTCTGAGAGGTAAGCCCATTTTTAAATAATAATGTCAAAAGGCCCTTTTTTTACCTCAGTCAGAGACGTAGTCTTAACCAATGTTCCCATAAACGTTACAAAATAAGGTCCTGTAAAAAAATTATGTATCCGTAGTAGCTTGCAAAATTATTATTTTCTCCAGTTAATACAAATAGCCCCCAAAAAGAGTCCCTACATAAGGCAAGCAGAGTTTGGTCTATGAAGGATCAGCTTCTGGTTAAAAATCCCTTTCTTAGAAAGTTAATTATCCACCCCTATTATTAAAAAGAAGAGATTTAAGTATCTTACAACCAAGTACTTCTGGGGTGGGGGAGGTTGGTTGTTTGTTTGTTTGCTTGTCTTTTGGTTTCTATTTGTGCTTAAAGTTAGGCTTCCTTGATTTTTAAAATTTGTTAGCACCCAGCTACTCTCGAAGTTTGAGCATAAATGTTTTATCTGATAAGAAATCACTGTGATCAGTTATTTTATGTAATTTACCATTTACAATTCCCAATGTATGTGACTGGGTCGGAATATCCTCTAACTATATAATTACTGTAATTATATAATTCTTTTTAATAATTACTAAAATTAGCATTTATCTGCATTGCCCTGTATCCTACAATAATGGACTCACAGGCCCCACTGTGCTTGGTTTTGTGTAAACAGAGAACAAAAGTCCCTGCCCCATAAACCTTATAATTTAAGTATAAAATGAAAGGCAACAGATGGGTACAGACAGATGGGGAGCACAAGGAAACGATGAAAGAATATTGGTCAGCATGCTAGACACGGCCATAGCACACCAGCAGCCTTTCCGTGTCCAATTCTTTGTCATCACCATAGCAAAGGAGAAGTTTATGTAGGATATGAAGAACAACAGTGAACAATAGCTAGTGAACAACTAGCTAGGAACAATAGTCTTCTGACTATTGTCAAAACTATAGCTAGATAGCTATAACTGTTTTCACTATATGTTCACTCATCATAGCTAGTGGGTAAGTGGTGGTATAGCACAGTGGCTTTCAAAGGTGTTCAGTGGACCTCCAGGGTTCCACAATAGCTCATCAGGATTCCACTAGGTGATTGAGGGTAATAGGTAAGCAGGCCAGGAGGCAGTGCACTGTCAATGCTGGGCTGGGGTGCCTGGCTCCATCAGTTCACATGGCCCATGGAGCCAGGAATAGGGGTTCTGCAGCAGGAGGTCATCTGAAAGGCTTCTGTGATTCTAGGAAGTTTGAAAACCACTGCTGTAGCATATAGATAGGTCAGACAGTCCCTCTGGGGGTGGTCTGCAAGGTTAAACTATTGGACTAGATTCCTCCTACACAGACCTCCAGCCTCTGCCGCTTTTCTGGATCTCCTCCCCCTCACTTTTGCTTAGAAGAGAAATATGGGTCATAGGAAGTTAAAACCACAAAAAAGAAATAGTGTTGTCTGATTGAGAAAAGTCATAGATAATTAAAGCTGTAAACCCATCAATAATTCACCTCTGATGCCTAAATGTATTAGAGAAATTTGTACACAAAATACTGATTTGATCCTCACTCAAGTAATACCTGCATTGATTTCCATAACAAAATTGCTTAATAAAAATGCAGAATTAGGCTCCAGGGACTTGCTTCTAAACTATTACAGTCAATCGAAGTTTTGCCATTGATTTGAACGGGAACAGGAGCAGAGCCCATGTATGTGCTGCTCTATTTAATTATAACATAATGGGTTAAATACAGAATAGGAATATAGAAGTGTAGGTGTACTCCTGTGTTTTTTTGGTTTGAGGAGTTTAAGTGGTAATTTAACCATTACTATTTTACTCACCATTTACTATATTCTTATATTTTAACATCTTGGTTTTTAATAAAGCTACAGTTCTTCATGTTAACTCCTATTTTATTTTATATCTATTTCACAGTTTGTTTATTCGTTGTTTTCTCTTTCCTGCTCAAGATTTTTATCAAAGTGCTCACAGAAACACTCACCGGTGACAGGAAGAAGATATCACCAAAGGTTACCCGCAAAATAGTTCAGCCAATCATAGATAAGATTGTTCTAGCTGTTCTGAGTGCAACAGCATCTTCCCCTGAGTTATTAGTTTCCTGAACCACCATTATTGCTTTTGTCCCAATAATGACATTTAGAAAATCTACATATGGCATAAATTATAGGAAAATATGGGGACATTTTATGTTAAAACTGTTCTTGACATGCCAAAGAACTAAATTTAAACTCTTGAGACAATATACTCATCTCAGTTTACAGCATAACTCCCACTGATGTCAACTGGATTTATATGCTCTACAGATTAAAATCAGTACATAGTTCTCAATCTGTAGGACCCATGTTAGCTTCCAAAAGAACATCACACATGCCATATTTAGTAACGATGGCATTTGTTAACAATTAACTTAGCTGTAGAAAACAATTGTATTATATATGTAAGTGCCTTATTTAAAGCACAAAATGGTCTTACTTATCAAGGAAAACTGAGTGAAAGAAAACTGTATGGAAATGTTTAGCTTCAGTGGTTGCAGTTAGCAAGTCAGCATTAGCTGATGACTTTTAAATGGTAAAAGTTTAATCCTTTGAAAGCTAGAGAAAGGTAAGATGCAACCTCACCTGTTCAGCGTTGTCTTTAAGCAGCCTTTGAGGTATTTGTCAGTAAAATCTTCTTGTGTTTTATTATCCACCTCTTGCTTAGTTACTTTCTTATGACAAACCAGTATGTAATTTTTGTCATCATTGTTTGCCCAGAATGTGCCAACAGATGTCTCATAACGTATACAGAACTCAACTTTAGCTTCATCTCTCTGATAAGGAGGAACCAATGAAATCTTAAAGAAGAACTGGTCAGTTTCACCATCATAAGAATTAGGCACATAGTCTGCTAAGATGTCATAGTGACTTTGCCAATCATCTAATGTCATTCTAACATATATCAACTTTTCAAAAGATATATTTAGAACTCTAATAATGCCATTCATACACGTTACTCCAGGTAAGAAGAAAACTGACTCCAGCAATACTTTCTCTTCATGCACTTTTTGCAAAAGATCTTCTTGTGAGGCAGGCAAAGTAAACAGTGGAGATAAAAAATATTCCTCCACAGGCTCAACTTCATCTTCAAAGACATCATTTTGTGATGTAGTTGGAACTTCCCAGGTATCAAATTCTTTAACAGACACAAGATCAAAACCAAATGCATCAGCAAATGAAACTTTTCGTGTAATGGTAGATGGGATTTCTGGCTCTGTATCTTCTGAAGAAGCAGAATTCCGCCTTCGTGGAAGTGGGGAGAAACGAGGCTTAAGAGTAGTTTTAACATCTTCATCTTCTGAAGGGGGATCACTTAAAGTAGGGACTTCTAATAAGTTATCCCTGCTAACCTGACTGGGTTCTTCAAAAGACTCCATTGGGCTCTCTGATATAAACTGAAAGAGAACCGTACAACTAGTGGTAGATGATATTTGAGACACTGTGATTTAAAACAAGGATTCATGTTACAGTTGACATTGCAAAAGGGAGTCAGGTCTATTAATAGGTGCAATGGCTTGTAAACTATGTTAGTCTCCTCTCCAAAGACCTTAAATCTGATAGTATTAATGTTACAGTTTCAACTATGTTTGATTACTGCAGTGATGTTTTTAGGTAGTGTGTATGTGCAAAGAGCAAAAGCAACATTTAAATAGCTGATGTTTTGCAAAACTGCAAATATAGAGGTATTTTAGGCAATCATTTTGCATTGTAAAGCAAATGCATAACATACTGCACAAATGTAGAACCATAAATAGGAGGTATTGCCTGTCAACAAAAGATTTGCTTTATTATGGATTATTTCTGTTTCTCTTTTCAAACATATTATTTTAATTGTATCCAAATATAAAACTTCAGTCAAATTCTGCTCTGATTTCATGCAAGCTCAGTAAGCCAGATCCTGAACCATGTTAGTTTATACCAACTGAAGTTCTTGCCATCAAAAACATGTGCCAATCTTATTACAGCCATATCAAAATACCTTTAAATTAAGCCAAAATGAAACATAGTGAATATATTTAAGGTCATGCTGTAAATTATCACTGTAAATATATCCATTTATCCATACTAGTTCTTTTATAAAGTCTTTTTGGGCTAGATTGTGTCTAGTCCTCATACAGTCTCCTAGAGGAGGAAGCAAGGAGCTTTGTGTGTGCTAAAATCTTGAGGTGGTGCCTCTAAGAGCCCCCACTGGCGTGAGAAAACTCAATATCACCCATGGCATGACACCAGCTAAACACCAGAAATCAGTTTACTCAAAAACACCTTAACCAGTCAGCATATACTTTTAAGATATTCTGAAGACAGAAATTTGCAAAACTGTTTTTGAGGCATAGGCCATGACCTCTTAATTTCTTCCTCCCATAGGTTATCATCTGTCCTTCCCTGCTGTCTTGATATGACTCTCAAAGGGCAAGATTACTTTTAAATCCAGAAATGTGACCACAGCTCATGTGGACATACCCAAACTAATCTTAAGTAGCAGTCTCAGGTATGGGGAGCAGTATATCCATGACAGCACAGAGTTTCTTCTGGATTCTTCCAAGATCTCAGTTATGTTTCCAGAGTATTTTTCCAGGACCTCAGACACATTCTACATGAAATCCCTTTCTTCTGTGGCTTGCTGTTAAACTACCTCAGGTATGCCTACATGCAATGCAGTTGCACTTTTGGAGTGCAAGGTATACATACTTTTTCCTACAGGCTCCCTTTTCTGATAAAGATGTTGCTTCCCACATTGAGAATACAACTCCATCCCTCTTTGCTACATCACCACTATCACCTCTCTGCTACTGTCTCATCTGTTGTTGCAACATCACATTGGTTTTCCTCTTATCAATGTCTCTTCATTGATGCTGTCCCCTTGAGAGAGGATCCTTATATAAGTAATGCAACCCTTTATTTAAAGAATAATGAAGTAGTTTGCTGTAGTCATGTAAACTCTTGGAATATCACTGTTGTAAAGTGTAGCATTGTAGAATGCTATAGAACTTTTTCATATGGTTCTATCACAGCAGGAAATGGAGGGGCTGCTGGGAGAACTTGTAGAAGCAGGACAGAAGATGAATAACAGGACAGTCCTACAGATGAATGGTGACTGCATGCTGAAGATACCAATGGTGGCTGATCCTCTAATGGCAGCTCAACTTCTTTCCCACAGAGACAAAAATCATAATATAAACCACTATACTTTACTTACTGTAATGTTACTATAGTGCTTGTGTAACTATATTAGGTCCAGTTTTATTACATGCTGCAGTTTCATAGAATCATATAAAATAGAGCTGGAAGGGACCTCAGGAGGTCAGATAGCCCTAGCCGCTGCTCAAGATAGGATCATTTGTATGTAACCTTTCCTATCTAAGTGTTGAATCTATTTTAAAAACTGCATTAACAAATCTTTTGCACAACTATCAGGCACAATGTTTCCAAACAGCCAGAACATCATAACTTGACCGGGGTAAAGCAGGGCACAAGGGTGCTGTCAATGTCCTGACACTGGAAGGACAAGAAGTAGCTTGTTAAAATACATGCAAGAGATCCAAGGAATAGAACTATTTTTCCCCAACTGCAGGGGAGGGCAAAAATCCCCACAGTCCATGCTGATATGATTTTCCCTTTTTTATTTTTAATGAACCTTTATGAAAGAATGCACAGACACTGTGTCCAGCAGACAAGGAATTAACTTCCTAATGAACTCTCTGGCAAGCCACATAGGTGGGAAGGGCTAAGCTATTCAGGCAGAATTCCTGAGAGAATGCAATCTTGAATTAAGGATTTATCTTTTTCCAGAGAAGTTTTTTTTAATATTCTGAATGAAGTGAGTGAGGTTAGTAAGCAGAAGGTTAATTAGAACTGTGAAGGTTGAAATTTCTCCTAGAATATAGAAACCAAGCTGAAGAGAAGTAGAAAGGTTTTGCTATTTTAAACCTGGTTAAATAAGAAGAAATGTTCTTTCTGGGCTTAATCTAATGCCCAGTAAGTCAATGGGAATTTTTCCATTAACTTCAGTCGGCCCTGGGTCAGGCCCAATGTTGGCTGACTGCTAAAGTACAGACTACAACACATGACAAGTGATACATACACAGTAAGTGAATACTACTAGGGCTAGAGACAGAAATTACACTGAAACTCATATAAGTGATCAGAAACCAGTTCAAATCTATAACACAACAGAAGTTTAGTGCACATAAATGGCTTCAAAATGATCAAAACTGGTTTAAGATAAACCTGGATGGATTTACTATCAGACTTAACTGATTTAGGTTAAATCAGTTTATTAAACTTCTGTCCCAGCTAGCCTTTGTCCAAGCTGTCAGCTCTAGCTGAGCAGGGAGGCATGTGCCTCTAGTGCTTACCTTCCCCCTGCCCCCAGCTTCTGGCCTGGGCCATTGCAGATATGTGGCTGCATTTCCAAAATCAAAAGTGGATGTCTGTTCACTTGCTTATTGGTTAGACTAACCTGCAACAATTGAATTGATTCAGCCTTGGGCTTTTTGAATGTCTGTACTTATCCAGGTGTTTTATGAAGAAAGCTTCAACCTTAGGTCTGAATTTTGGTGCTGTTCATGGATCAGATTTTACTTGCAATTAGAATGTCATGTCTAATTTCCCTTTAAAAATAGACACTTACATTTGGAGAAGAAAACTTTTCCAAGCCCAAATAGTGTCAGTTAAGTCAGCATTTGAAGTTATTCTCTGGGTCTATAACTGCCCTGCTACTCATGGAGTTCATCTCTTTCTAGTTGTTTTTAAACCATCACTGTTAGGGACTACTTTTTTCTTCAATTTGAACTATCTAGTGAATTGAGGAGCATTTTATTTCCCCTCTATATGGCATCATTTGGACTAATTTTAAACAATTTTCCTCAAAAATGTTCACAGCTGTTCAGGGAACAGCTTCTGCAGCAAACTGGGCATGTCTACATGTTCATTAATGTGCCACAGTAATTTCAAATTTAATTTAGAATAAAATTAATGCACAATAACTGGTGTTACTGCTCAGTAGCATCAGTGTATGCCTTTTTAGTGAAATTACTGTGCAGTAGTCTAATAATACTGCACAGTAGCATATTAGCACTGTTTGTGCTGTAACATGTTACTGCATTGTATTATTAAGCTACTGCACAGTTAGCATCTCATGTAGAAGCACCCACTGTGTAGTAAACAATTCCGTAAGGGACATAATGGAGGAAGCAGGACCAGTCACAACAGGAGAATGAAAGCAACATCCAAAAGAACTTTTCATTACTGAATGTGTGCAACTGCCTATATTGTTTATATAGTTGCCATTGGATTGTATTTTTCTGGTTGGTTCTGGCAGGGTGAATAGCAGGCTGAAGAGCAGGGTGAAGAGCAGAGAGAATATATTCCTTATTCCTTTATAGATACCTCTTTAATGGTGACTGAAGATAAGCAATAGAAGCCTTTGTAAAAATATGGGTCCATAATTATCTTCAGTGAAGAATACAAAATTTATTTACATAATGAAGTAAGTAGTATGTATATTGGGAAAGAAAGAAATATTTTCTCCATGCAGAAAAGCCTACACTAGCCAATGGCTGGGTGGTCATAAAAGCTGAACAAGAGATGGCAGAAAGCCTGAAAAAGTTGCACCCTTTAGAAATCAAGTTCTTGGCATATTGTGTGAGGTATTCTGAGAATTTTTTTTTAAGTGTATGGACCTAAGAAAGAAAGCACACACCATTTTATTTAACTGTGTTCTGCTAAGATATCCTGACAAAAAAGCAATTTAAAGCACACCACAAGTAATAAAGGCTGTGTGAGGGCAAAGGCCCTCTGTTATATCTGTGCAGCATTTTTGTCTTCTGCCCTCAATTACAGACTGTGCGTAATTCAAGGAAACTGCAGAGATTTGGTCCTGAAATTGGAAACTGATTATCAGTTCTGTTGATATCTGTGGCCTAACCTAGAAAGCAGTTCACTCTCAAAAACCGTGTTTGTTTCACAGTGCTATCAGGAATAACAAAAGCATATATGATAACAAAAATAAACCTTTATTTAGTCATTTTAATAGCAATACACACAATACAATTAAAACTAAATTCCCATTGACCTCAAGGATACCAGGATTTGGGTGGAACCAATCCAGTGGGTGAATCTACACATGTCCCTGACTGTGTAGTTGGTACTACTTGCTTTAGCACATACTAAATGAGTGCTACTTGCGTTAGCAAGTACTAAATGACAGAGATGTGATATAGACACAACTTTAAATGTTTTTTCTACATACCTCTAGGTAGCAGGTGGCTCGTGAATGCTGCAATGCTGCGGCTCATGGAGTATCAGGACCACAGGGAACTCCTCAGCATGCTCAGCAGCAGACCCAGAAGTGGACCAGAAGCACTTCCAGTTGACT